ATAATATTAAAAGTCAGACTAGTAATTTGATTAAAGATTCTGTTCCAAATGCTGATCGTAATGAAATTTTTCGTAAGAAAAAATTCCATAATGTAATGCTAAATTTGATAGAAACTGCTAAAAAAAAAAAAGTACCTCTGGAAGTTTGTCGTGAACATCTTATTGGTTTGGGTTTTACAGTAAATTCTTTTTGTGAAGGAAGTGAAGAGGAATTAAATTTTCTTATCAGATTATTTGTCGAAAATTGTGCCAAGAAATATGCTGAGAAATGCAACAAATGTAAGTGAACAACATAATTTTGTATTCGTTTATAGAAAGTACTCTATCTGTAACAATATATTTTATTTCTTTTAGCGTAATTCGATATTTAATTTGAACAATATTACAAAGTTTGTCATGAATATTTTTCCCCGAATGCATATATATGCATGCATGTAATTTAAATACGTACCGCTAATCATTTAACGTTTATATTTATTATTACACATGCGTTTTTCTATTTTTCACATTGGATTTTTTTTTCAAATAAAATTTTTAATAATTTTGGATTTCTATGTACAAAATATTTTAATACGTAATAATTTTTTTTAATTATGCTACATATTTTATTAATATTTTTTAATTGTGCATTTAGTTTATACTACGCTTATAAGAATAAATATGATGTAAAAGATTTTGATATACTAAAATTATTTTAAGCTTGAATTAAAGTAGTTATAATCAAAATTAAATTATCTCGTATTGCTACGTACTAATTAAAATGAAATCCGTCCAAACCAATTTGTTTATTACTTCGTTATTATCTTGCCAATAAATACGTAATAGCTCTATACATTTGAAACTATATATCAGAATGATTTTTGGTGCCGACCAAAATAATTTAGCCCATCCCATTAAGGTAATTAAAAGATTAATTAGAGGCCATAAATTAAAATTAGGGATTAGAGTTAAAGTCCAGATTGTGCGGTTTCAATTGGTTTCTATTTTTAAATAACTAGCTTATAACCCGTGACTTCGCTACGGAAGTTGTATATTATTAATATAATAATTAGTTGTTTTTTAAAATAATAAATATATTTAGATCTGCTAATGCTACCTTCACTTTTACTAATACTACCCTTATATAGTCTAACTATTATATTAAATTTTAGTTATACAATTTGTATAATAAAAATAATA